CCCGTTTCCCAGGCGTGGACGAGTCGGTGGCGGTGACGCTGGAGTTCCCCGGGCGAGCCCTGGCCGTGCTCACCTTCTCCATGGCCGCGGAGCTGCCGGGGGGGGCGGCGCTGGGGGGGCCGCGGGGCTGGGCTCAGGTGACCCGAAAAACCGGGCTCGGCCCCGAAAACTGGGGGGCGGGAGGAACCAAACGCTGCCACGGGGTTAAAAATCCCGGATTTGGGGAGTTTTAGATGGAAAACCTTTATTTTAGGGAGGGACCGTGGGAGTTGGGGTTTTTTTTGAGTTGTTTTTAGTTTGGGGCTTTTCGATTTTTTATGTTTTGTTTTGGGGTTAATTTTAGAATTTTTGTTGTTACTGGTTTTTTGGGGGAGTGGGTGTTTTTGAGGGTTTTGGGGTTCTCATGGTTTGGGGGCTGTTTTGAGTTTTTCAGGATTCTGTTTCATTTGTGCCAGGGTTTGGGTTTTCTTTGGGGTGATTTGGGTTTTTTTGTTTGTTTTGGGGAGGGCTTTTTCCTGGCTTGTACTCTGGGGTTTGGTTTTTGGGGCCCAAGGTGCCCCTGACACCCCCTCTGCCCCCCACAGCTCCCCAGCCACATGAACTGCCCCACCGAGCTGCTCTGGGGGGGTCACCGCGAGCACTTCCCGCTGCCCCCCCCGGCCGAGCCCCTCAACTTCCCCCACAGCACCGGGCTGCGCTACGAGGCCCAGCACGTGCGGGAGTGCCTGCTGCAGGGTGAGGTCTGGGGAGAAATCCCCACGGTTTGGGACGCCTCAACCTCTGGGGGGTGTCCGGGGGCTGCTGACCCCCCCTGGTACCCCCCAGGACTGACTGAGAGCCCGGAGATGCCGCTGGCCGAGAGCGAGGTCATCGCACGGCTGCTGGACGAGGCACGGGGACAGGTGGGGGTGGGACCCTCAGTGACCACTGACCCTCCTGAGTGACCACTGGAGTGACCCCTGACCCCCCAGGGTAACTGTGGCAGCTTCGGTCTCACCCACCTGTGGCTCAATAAAAGCTGGAAAATCTCTCCAAAACCTGACCCTGGTCATTCCCAGGTGACCCCAGTAAGACCCAGACGCTCCCAGTTTGTCCCAGTTTGTCCCATTTGGGTTTATTACAGCAGGAGCCCGTGCTGCCGAAGCACCGCCGTGAACGGCGCCGCCTTCTTCTCCGCGTTGCGCTCGGCCCGGCGCCGCAGGCTCTGGAAACGGAGAGAGGAAAACCAGGGCAAAACAAAATACAGAAAAAAGGAAAAAAAAAAAAAAAAAAAAGTGGAAAAAAATCAGGGATTGAGTGGTCCCCAATTTCCCCCCACACATCGAATTCCTATGGGAGTTGGGGTCTCACCCCCTGGGTTGGGGCTCTAACCTGGTTTTAGAGCTTTCCCAACCCGTTTTTCCTCCCCGTGAATTTCTTGGAGAGTCCCACACCCAAATCCTGGGGTTTTCCCTGCCTGGCTCCAGACCCTCCCCTTTTCTGTTGTCCTTCCCCTCGCCATGCCAAAGGATTTTAGGATGTTTTCCCCGTTTTTCTCACCATCATCTTCCTCTTTTTGTTGTACCGAAGCTTCGCCTTCTCCTTCCTTTTCTCCTCCAGTGCTTCTGTCACATCCCGGTACTTCCAGCCCACCTCGTGCGCCAGCCGGCCCAGTACGGCAAACTGGGGGGCACTGGAAGATCAGGGGGGCCCCAGCACCCCATAAAACCCTCCCAAATTCCCAAAACCCCCCAAAATTTCATAAAACCGCCCAGAATCCCGTAATCCACAGATTTTCCCCAAATGCCCCCTAAAACTCCGTCCAAATCCCATAACACTCATTAAAAAACGCCCCAAACTCTCATAAAACACCCCTAAAATGCCATAACCACCCCCGAAGTTCCATAAAAGCCCCCAAGCTCACCTTGCGCGTGGGTTTGAGACGGATGATTTTGAGGGCAGCTGGCACCACCATCCGCTTCCGCTGAAAAATTTGGGAATTTTGGGGTCTTCTGGGGTCCCTCAGGGGGTTTTGGGGTGGGTTTATGGGCTCCAGGTGTCTCAGGGCTTGAGGTTTTTCTCAGAAGTAGTCAAACAATGTAGGTAAAAATGACATCATAGACACCAGGCTTTAGGGGCAGTTTGGGGAGTTCCAAGGTGGGGATGCTGAAGGGGGCATTTGGAGGGGAATCTGGGAATTTCAGGGCTGAATTTTGGGGGTCCCACCTTGTCGTAGGGTGGGGGGATCCCATCGAAAACCTTGAGCCGCTCCAGGGCCGCCTGGCCCCGCTTGGTCTTGTGGGGCAGCATCCCTGGATTTGGGGTAAAAACCGAAGAATCAGGGGCAATTCCGGAGGGTTTTGGGGAAGGATTTGGCAGGGTTCTTGCTCACCTCGGACCGTGCGCCAGAAGATCCTGCTGGGGGCTCGGAAGTGAAACGGGCCCCGGGAGGGATTGGTGTTCATCCTCTTCCTCAGGAACGCCAGGAATTTCACTGGGGCAGGGGAAAAACGAGGCGAAATCGCTCAAAAACGGAGGTTCGTGAAATCTCGGGGACTTTGCTGGGATGGGAAAAGAGGTTAAATCCCCCTAAAACCGGTCTAGGAAATTCACCGGCACGGTCAAACAGAATAAATTCCCTAAATACGGGGACTAAGAACTACCAGGAATAAGAAAATGGGTTAAATCCTCCCAAAACGGGGGTCGGGGGATACATGGAGAACCCGGGACGCTCTGGAAACTTCCCCCAACTTCTCCGCGACCTGGAACCCTCCCCAAAAGCCGGGATTTCCCCCCAAACCCGGGGTCCCCCAGCTCACGTTTGTTGCGGTAGAAGTTCCCGGAGATGTTGATGCCCTCGCAGCGAACCACGACCACGCGGCGGCCTGGGGAAAGCGGGAGCCGGGCTGGTCAGGGCCAGGCCGAGAGCGGGCAGCTTCCCCCGCCTGCCGAGCCCCTGAACCCCCCGCGCTCAGCTGGTAGTGCATGGAGGCGGCTCTCATTGTCGCCAAACTCGACAGCCGAAAAGGCTCATCACGGCGTGGGGGGCGCGCTGATCCCGGTGGATTCCCGGTGTTCTCCCCGGGGAAGGGGCCCCGCACTCACCCAGCAGCACCTGCTTGGCCACGATCGCTGCCAGCCGGCCCAGGAGGTGCCCGCGGCCGTCGATCACCAGAACCTGCA